TGAGAAAATAGAGCCATTACGACAGGAACACTGTTCAAAGTGTTTTGTCATTTCTACGATATCAAATACTGCACTGTAAGAACAAAGTCATGGAGGAAACCCTCCATAATGACAGACTGATGGCCTATGACGTATACTCCTCAAAAGACAAAAAGATAATACTGGCAAAAATAAGCTTTTCCAAGGGAAAAATGCCCTGGATAAACGAAGTGCTATTCAAGAAGATAAAAAAACATAGTGGAGGCTTTACAGTACTTAATATTAAAACCTACTATGCGAAGGGAGCTCTGGTGGCCTAGTGGCCAGAAGCTGCACTGCAATCCCAGAGGTATGCAATTCAAATCCACCAGATGCTCTGCTGGAGAAGGAGGGACAATCTCCTGTACCAGTCAGATCCGATTTGACGGTACACACAAAAAATGATAAAATAAAAAAATTTAATTTAAAAAACCAAACACCTACTACACAAGGGCAGTATTCAAAACAGCTTGGTTTCTGGTACCGTGACAAATAGACCACTGCCATACAGCTGAGAATCTAAAAATAAGTCCATCCACCTACAGACTGCTTATCCTTGACAAACACATGAAATCCATTTGGTGTAAAGAAAGCCACTTAAAAGAAATGGTGCTGGCAAAACTGCATTCTGTAGAAAATAGAAACAAAGCCCAGCATCTCACATCATATACAAAAATTAGCTCAAGGATGATCAAAGACCAAGGCATAAAACTCAAAACTAGAAAGATCTTCACTGAAAAATCTTGGGCAAACTTAGAAGCTATATTATAGGGTAAAAATAGACATCAAAGGTAACTGAAAATGCACAATCAGCAGAGGATACTTTAGACCGGTGGCTCCTAAAAAAAAATCTAAGTGCAACAAAGGACTTCTCTAAAAGACAAAAGGAAACCTACAGACTGGGGTGGGGGGGGGGGCGGATCTAGCTCTGACATTTATGACAAGGGACTAATCTCTATATTGTATAGAAAATTCTAACATCTCAACAACAACAACAACAACAACATAAAAGACAAATAACCCAATTAGAAAATGAGCAGAAGGCATTAAAAGTTGACCGAAAAAGACATTCAGATGGCCGATGAACATGAAGACATGCTCAAGATCATTATGGCTGTTAGGGACTGTCAGGTTGAGCACTACTCGAAGCAACCCTGTGAACAAAAGATCAAAGCCTTGTCCTGGTCTGCTACATCCTCGCAATTTCCACCATATGCAAATACATTTTTGTTCCAGTCACTGTGCTGATTCATTTTGTCAGGGGTCTTATTCTCTCTTTAAGGCCCTCCACTCTTCCCCAACAGGTTCTATTTTCCAAAGACTGTCCTCTCCGGAAAAAATGCTCAAAGGGTATAAGACAAAGTTCCACCATCTTTTCCTCTAAGGAACACCCAGGATGCACTTCCTCCACAGTATCTTGTTTGTTCTTTTGGCAGTCCATGACTTAAGTCTGTCCTTTTCTCTCTCCTTACTTATTGTCCAACTTTCAGATGCACAGAAAGCAACTGAAAAAACCATGGCCTGATAAGGCACACCTTATCTTGTCTTTAAACTAACACTTTTGCTCTCTAGCACTGTGGTGAGGCCCAGGAGAGACTTCTTCCCAGCAAAGTATATCTTTTGATTTCAAGTTTCTGGATGGTCCTTTTTCTTTCTTCATATGTTTCACAGTAATATTTCACTGCTTCTTCAGTCTGCCTACTGATTTTTAGTAAAGTACTAAGCATCTGAATTCATGTTTTCAATCAACATAAATCTCTGGCTTCATTTAGAAAATTAAATCATTTAATAACGATTTTTTTGAAAGAAAACAGCCTGTTAATAAATTTTACACTGAACACCTTGGAAATATTTTTATTATATTGCAGTAATTGCAATATATTACTAAAATTAGTTTTATAGTTGGTTTTACTCCTTGCAATATAATTACTACAAAATTTATAAGTGAGGGACTTTGGCAACACAGTCTATATAAAGTTGCCCCATCAAAAGGGTATAAGTATGTTTTATCCCAACTTGATGCTACATTGTTCTTCCTACAGTCCAGCTTCTTAGATTATCTGCCCAGTATCCAGACTGAATAAATGTATGGAGAAAGGACACAACCCAGATGCACATCTTTCCTGATTTTTAACCATGCTAGATCCCTTTGTTCTATTACAAAAACAACTGTCTCTTGGTCTATACACACGTTCTAAATGAGTACAAATAAGTGTTCTGAACTTTCTATTATGTGCAATGTTTCTCTTAATTCACTATGCAAACAAAATTGAGTGTCTTTACCATCATTTTATTAACTAATAAAATACAAGTAAACCTATTACTAGTAAGATCCATCTGTTATCAGAAAAGATAGCTCTCAATTCACATTCTCTTTTTCAATACAGCTTAAATTTCTGGCTGTTCTCAGGCACTGGCTGAAAATCACCTGTGACTTCATCCATAGCCACTGGTGAGAGTCAGCACCCAGAGCCATCAGGGGGCTTTAAGCTCGTTGCCCACTGCTGTGGTGTGGACAGCTGAAACCCAGGCCCCGACAGGCACCTGGGGGGGGACCCAGACTCTGCTGGAGAAGGAGGGGCAGTCTCCTGTACTGGTCAGATCCAATTTGACTTGACAGTACACACACACACACACACACACACACACACACACA